CTCAATTTACAAGGAGCGGTATTCAAAAGTACAAATTGAAAATTGTAAATCATGGCGAATTTTCGTACTGTTCGTGGCAACAAAGCTACTGATTTGGATGGACGTGACAATCTTTATGTACATTGTGTGTCGAAAGAGCGACTGGAGCTGCTTCGTGAAGGGATGTCGAACTTCTAGTTTTATGGATATTAAACGAGAACATTTGGGCTTTGGCGTAAAAGTTGACTTATTATATGTTCGCCGAATGCGATTGTCCTTCATTGATAGAAATCTATTCTAGTTGTGACCTTAAGGTACGATTATTTTATGATTTAATTGGTGGGAAAATGGGCCATTTATACTCAGAAATCATACGAGACTACAAGGCAAGGGGGGCAGAAGTGAACTTTGTGTTACAGAAATTCTGCCTGCTAAATCTCCAGTTTTGGGCAGTCATGAGGTGTGAACTTGAATGTGACCTGATTAAGTGTGTTTGTGCAGTTTAATATAGTTCCTTGAGTAGACTTTATTTCCAGAACACAGAACAGCTATCGTCAATGGAACATGCACAATCAGGTTTTCATTGGCAAGTCAACACATAATTATAAAGGTGCCCTTGCCTTTTTATTGTTCCAACATCCCTGTATAAATGCATCAAATCTTTTTTACCTGTAGTACTTATGTTGTGTTCTGTTGTGGGAGTTTAACATTATTCCATCACCAACTTCTGTAACAATCTGACCACCCAAGCTGGATATTTTAGAGGATATACTGAATGACCCACCACTGGTGAATTTAGATGAGCCATTGTTATGCAATTGCATTAAACAGCCATTAAATCCTATGTGTCTGGTTAAAATTCATGGTGAAGAGATGCCTGGTGATGTTGAAAGTATTCGTGCAGAAGGTGGAGTTGCAGACATGGACAAGATTGATGAAATTCAGCAGTTGACCCAATTGTTGGGTATGTAACAGGCTACTGGTGATGCTAAATACATGAATGATTCAAGCTCTGATTAGGAGAATGATGGAGACAAGGATTCTGAAGGACAAGGATTGTGGAGGAGACACATTGTACCCTGAGAATTAAGACAAGGATTGTGGAGGACACTTTGTATCCTGAGAAGTTTGTTGTAGCTGGTTCCTGGCGAGAACAAAGATACCATGCAACTTGTGATAATCATGTATAGATGATCAAAAAATCTCAAGTTGAAATTTAAAGTAGAACATGAGCAAGACATTTTTAGCTGAGATTTTCATATAAATTTATTCCTATTAAAACACTGTTATTATTTTATTATTCCATTCCTTTTTCAAATAAATAAATGTTTTCAAACTCAATTTGCTGTGTTTGTTTACTGCAGTCATCAAATCCCTACTTTATCTTATAGTCCACCTTGCGCATGTGTTCTGTAACTGTTTTAACTGTTGTATATTTAGCACAGATGGATCACTGATCTAAAGATGGATCCAGTATGATGTGGTAGGGAGGGTGCTCTGCCAGCTCTGGTGCCGAGTTGTGTCAGTCAGGTGCACCACCCACCCATCAACTTACTTGACTACAGCAAAGTCTTGCTCGACTACTGTATTGTAATTGTTGTTAACAAACTGTTTACTTATCATCATGTTATTACTCAAATTACTCATTTTGTCTCTAATATTTTTTGCTTTATCATGAAAATACCCCCCCCCCCTGCATACCCTCTGGCCAGGGCTAGGTGGGGGGTGCACACACCCCAGTAAATCCACCCCTGATATTGGTCATACAAATGCAGTGGTCATGCATAATTGATGTTAATAAAATGCTTTATTCAAAGTTACAATATATAAAGTAAATACTTAAGATTCATTGCAACATTTTCATGTCACCAATACACCAATATTTACATGTAAAATGTCTATATTAAAAGGCTGGTATGGGCAAATTTATATAACATGTTGCTCTTATTATTCTGGTTCAATAGTTTCATTGCTTGAATCAGTTGAATGGATAATGAGCACAACTTGGCTGGATTAGATGTTATACCATTTGCCAAAGCAGGATGTAGGAACAGTTTGCTCAATAACAGTTCTAAATCAGCATTAAATTCATAAGTTCAACTTTTCCTATACTTAGGGACCGATCGTTTATTACGTCTCAGGGGGGGCGGTGGTTTTTTTAGAAACATTGTCAATAAAATATGCACCCCCCCATATTTTTGGGAAATGAAAAAATGACCCCCCTGTTCAACTATATAGATTAAAATTTAAAAATATACCCCCCCCCCCAATTGCACTAGGCATTTCTAGGCATCAAACCTCAGTGCATCAAATATTCAAATTATAAGGCCTGGCGAAATCACTAATTCAATATAATATCGAGTCATACATAAAAGCAAGATTGCGTATTTTGGCATTCAATACAAAACAGGAAACGTTATACAAAAATATATTAATGAATGATATAAACATGTAAAAGTAAAAATGCAATAATATTTATATATTATTATAAAATGTAGATAAAAAATACCTTTTTTGAAACATTTTCCGCCATGTTTTTTTTCAGGTGTAAACCATTGACTGCAATAATTCCGTTCAGCGGAGTCACTAAGGGCCTGTTCATATGATCCCGCTTTAATACCAGGACGTCTCGCTTACCGATGATCTCGCCGCCTATCTATTTTCCTATAAAATTTTGCATTGTGTTCATATGAGAAAGCGACCTGGCCCGCTTGCCGAGATCTCGTTTGAATTTGCAGAGATCATAGGTAGGCGGGATGAAAATTTTTCCGTAATGAACACGCCAGCCCGCTTACCTGGATGAAGTCAAACAAGTCTTGCCGGTTTAATTTAACACTTTTTACTTGGTTTTATGTTTGTTTTGTAAACAAGTATTAAATAAGCATCTGAAGAAATACTTTTTCTTGTAAATAAACAAAGAAAAACACTAAAATCGCTAAGTATTTGTGTTGCTTGACTGAAATGTAGAAGTTTTGCATACGCTATTAATTATGGAACTACAATGTAATTTCATCTCGGCAAGCGGGACGAAATATTCCATATGAACGCACGGAAATATTCGTCTTGGTAAGCGAGACGTCCCGGTAAGCGGTATCATATGAACAGGCCCTAAAAACCATTGAACTAAACTTTCAACTATCAAGAGTTGACTGCTAAGAACTAGATTCCAGTCTTCTCTATGCAAAAATGGCACACAATGGCGCAATCTTGCTTGATTAGTTGTATTTGTTTTTCTTTTTTTCAAATTCAAAATGGTAGATATATTTTGAATTTCATCTCATACACCAAATAAAGTCATTTTAATATGTAAGAATCGTTTGCAATTTCAAAATTTAACCCCCCTTCTTTTCCTTTCGGCAAACAAAAAACTACCCCCCCAAAATAGCCATATTTAAAAAATTAACCCCCCCTCAAAAACCACCGCCCCCCCTGAGACGTAATAAACGATCGGTCCCTTAGGATCAACAATATAAACAACATTGCCATCATCAGATTCCATTTTCACAAAATATATTCGAATTCTATAAAAATAATGGTAAAATACAGTGTATTTAACTTAAAAGCAGCAGTTAAACTCAACAACGATCGACATATATGCGCATGTTTCGAAACAAAACAAAAATATTAACGACTCGTACAGTAATTTTCATCGCGCCATAATTCCCATGCGGTCGACTATTCCCGCGATGGGCGACATAGTATACCGAAAATGCCCCATTTTCAAACCGCGATTACTCGTCAGTTTGATGGGGACAATTCATTTTTTAAACTTCTCATAGAAAGAACAACTCTTCCTGAATCCGATGGCGTGTCTTTTATTTAATTTACTCATTTATAAACCCAATTGTCCCCAGCGGTTTTGAAAGCCACTTTTGACACTTGTGCATTGACCCGGAAAACAGGTCAATACAAATTGCGATTAACATACAACTAAACGTTGTTAAAACACCAAATAAAGCAAAAATCGTTAATTTGACTCATATCTAAAACAATTATAAAAACTTACCTTCAAAAATACGAACTTTTCGTGACGAAATATCGAAATAAATATCCACAACTTTTCCAACTAACATTGTGAAAAATCATGATTGTGAATATTAATGATTGCAATGCATGCTGGGAAGAGCTTCCACCCTCCTCTCAATCTCGTTCCCAGAGTATGCCTGTTCGCGGGTTAGGTTGTGGCATGACTCTGGGGAAATCGAATCGAAATCGTTATTTGATTGGCTGCCGTGATCATCAATGCTGCCGACACAATTAATGCGTGTTTTTTGCGAGAATTACGCGTGGACATACGCGAAGAGAGAATTATCAATGTTTATCAGATTTGGAATGCGAAATCAAACGATATAAATCGAAGGATATGATATTAATCGTATGAAAAAGTATTGGGACGTTGGGTATATACTTACAAAATGGCATGGTATTTATGAACGACTTTTTAACGATCTACAGTACGAGTATATTCATTATTTATAACCATGAAAGAATTGGGCCCAATTGGCTAAATGAAATCATCGCACACGTTGTCGTTTTGTTAAATTGACATATTGTTGCCAGGACTTTGGAGTGACAGCTTTTGCTTGTGTTAAAAACTTGAAGCTTTAAACAATACAGTACATTATGGCCAATGGTCAACACTCAACATGTTGTAGCCCGTGGTCTTTGTGCTTTTGTAGTTCTGTAAATGGAGTTATCTATATAAATTTAAGATGCCAGGTGTTTTTGTAGCATCTGTATAAATTATAGAATTGATTTAAGAAGTTCCTCAGGTTGTAAAACATTTGGTTATAGAGTTGCTTTGTACGTGATTGCCACTTGACAGCATGATGGGCTATTCCATTTAATATCCGTACACCCCCTGTCGAGGATACATGTTTTTCATGATTATACCCCTGGGGCCGGTTGTTCAAAACTGGGTTAGCTTAACCCTAGGTTAACCTAAAATTCAAAGCAAACTTCCTGACAGCTTGTCTATAAATTTGGAAATGTTTCTTCAGAGATCTTGTCTGGATCGATAGAATTTTACTTCTCTGAAGTTTTGAAATAAACAGACGTGCAGAAATACATAAACTAAAACAACAGGTTAAATTTTAACCCAGGGTTAGCACCAATCCAAGTTTGAACAACCGGCCCCTGAAGAACTTCAAACTCAAAACCTTTTACCCCTGAAGAATTCCAAAATTCCAAGCTCAAAACCCTTTACCCCTGAAGAATTCCAAGCTCAAAACCTTTTACTCCTGTTCAAAGAATTTCAAAATTCCATGCTCAAAACCCTTTATCCCTGAAGAATTCCAAGCTCAAAACCCTTTACCCCTGAAGAATTTCAAGCTCAAAACACTTTACCCCTGAAGAATTCCAAGCTCAAAACCCTTTACCCCTGAAAAATTCCAAGCTCGAAACCTTTTACCCCTGAAGAATTCCAAGCTGAAAACCCTTTACCCCTGAAGAATTCCAAGCTCTGAAAAATTTCAAATCAAACCTCCTTACCCCTGAAGAATTCCAAGCTCAAAACTCTTTACCCATGAAGAATTCCAAGCTCAAAACCCTTTACCCCTGAAGAATTCCAAGCTCAAAACACTTTACCCCTGAAGAATTCCAAGCTCAAAACACTTTACCCCTGAAGAATTCCAAGCTCAAAACCCTTTACCCCTGAAGAATTCCAAGCTCAAAACCCTTTACCCCTGAAGAATTCCAGGGATCCTCGACAGGGGGGGTACGGATATTAAATGGAATAGCCCAATCTTTGGTGTGACGTTGTCTATTTTCAGCTTTTCGCATGTGTTGAATATAAATATCACTTTAGATTTCAATAGTTTCACAGTTATAGCAGTGTTTAAAACATTTTTGACAAGCTTTGATACAGTTCTGTGTACAGAATACTACAGATTGATTCTCGTAAGATCTGGTAGAGTTATCGTTGCACTGAATACGAGTTTGCACCGTTGACAACGGCGTTGTGCTAGACACTAGACAGTAAACAAGGACAAGGACAAGGTCCGTGAATGTACACGTTGGCTACATGTACCTCCTTGCTTTTTTCTTCTATTGCATAAAGCTTGTTGGCGAGCCAATTAAGCGATTAGCGATAACACGTTGGCGATAACACCTAAACACGTTGGCTATCTCCTCGTCTTTCTTATTTATACAAGGAGCTCTGACTCAACTGATTCCTTTAGTCTCGTAAGTTTTTTTCTTCGTAAACGCCGTACGAACGTTTACCCGCTTCTGTTTAATAGTTGTTTATGCTTTATTGATCTGATACAAATCTGATGTAATTTTTCGCTCTTTGTACTGAGTATAGCCATCTATTCTGTGATGTAGCACCTTATACAGTCAATGAGAATGTATAATGAATACACGGTCCAAATAATATCGACGGTAATGCATAACATCAATTTATATATTGTATTACTATTATTGCGTAGAATCTCAAAGATTTTATCAATATTCATGTCTGAAATGTTTATATACTTGAAAACAACACTGTCTCGCTTCTGCCTGCACGTACTGTACCTCTGTAATTTCACGGCATACTCATTATACAGACTCTGTATAATGAGTATCCCGTGAAAAAATAATATCGGCACTCAATTGAATGCCTAGAAGCAAGATTTTCGACTCAATATTTACGTCTGAAATGTTTATACACTTAACTGCACTGTCTAGGCGGTCTAGCTCCTTCCTAGCTCTGTATAATGAATATACCGTCTAAATATTATCGGCACTTATTAAATTGAACGCCCGTAATGCATAAGATCAATTTATATATTGTGTAGATTTTCAAAGATTTACTCAATATTCACGTCTGAAATCTTTATATACTTGAAAACAATACTGTCTCGCTTCTGCCTACGTTCTGTACCTCTGTATAATGAGAATACCGTGAAAATAATATCGGCACTTAAATGAATGCCTAGAATCAAGATATTCGACTCAATATTTACGTCTGAAATGTCTACACACTTGACTGCACTGTCCAGGCGGTTTAGCTCCTTCCTAGCTCTGTATAATGAATATACCGTCTAAATATTATCAGCACTTAATTGAACGCCCGTAATGCATAAGATCAATTTATATATTGCGTAGATTTTCAAAGATTTGCTCAATATTTACGTCTGAAATCTTTATACATCTGAAAACAACACTGTCACCCCTTCCTAGCATATCGTCACGCCATCGTGATCTACGGCTTGATAGCGCATGCGCATTTGCGCTACTAAAAAAAATCGGGGGTTCCGGGGTAAAGATCCTTTACACAACATGAGAAGCGAATGTTCTAAAATTTACAAAAAAAATACAATAAAGAAAGCGATTCCTCGAAATTTTTGTGAACTTGGCAAAAGGATAACAGAATATGTAAATAAGTTAACTGAAATTGCCTAAATAACCTTTGTTTGACTGATTCGTGTGACTGATTCGTGTGAATTCGCCAGCCATCACAATAGTGTGAAGTGAAACTTCACACTAATAACTATCAAGAATTGTTTTTAAATATATAAATTTCGCGACCGCTATTCTATAGGAATAATAGGATTTTCCTAAACTTTCATATATTGTATAAATTATATGCGGTTTCATTTGGTTACTCCACGCAGAGACTTACACGTAAGTGGTGCAAGCCTATAAACAAGCGACAATCCGTCTCAAAATGGACTATTATGTCACAAGGTTCTGACTCGCTCCGGCGGCTCGTGCAATTTTGGCACATTTTTCAAATATCACTCGTAGTGTTAATCATTAGTGTACTTAGGCAAACAACGTTTTTCTCAAAACGAACGTCACCTGAAAATTGGTACGACTAATTTTGACGGTATTTTGCATCATGGCGCACGTGTAAGCAAGCAAAAAACTTAAACTAAATGGTCTTGATTACAATTCGACTGGGCTTTGTAATCATTTATTTAAACCAGAGTAGCGAGCGAAACATGATCTTATGTTTTGTTACATGTGATGAAGCTTACTACAAACTGATACAAACACAGTTTTTAGTCCAGTCCCCCCTCGGCAATCTGACGTCATTGTTGACAACAACGTCGTTTGCTTAAGCTCACTATTAATTGCACTCCTTCCCGTGTGATTACCTCTACAAATTATACATTGTCATTGAGAGACACCACTCTGAAGACACCGGAGGCACATTAACTTTACCTCAACAACGCATTGAAAAATAGTTTTAGCTCCAGTGGTGCGGTACTGTGGAACACCCTTCCAGCCGAGATACGACAAGCTAACACTTTACGTAAATTCAAGTCTGGCAAGATAAAGATAAATTGGAATGTGAAAAAGAATGGGTTGTTTTTCAGGAAGAAAGTGACAGCGACATTTCGGAGAAAGAAATGGAGAGAGAAGAAAGAAATTCCAAGAAGAAAGTGGAAGCGTCAGGGCCATACTTCATCTGTCTTAGATTAGATACGGCTTTAGAAAACCTAGGACTTGAGAAAGCAGCTTGTTTTCACAATTGTGGCTGCAACTGAAAATTATGTGAATCATCTTCCAGATGTTCATGTATATGCGGACGATTCTGAACTTTACCTTTTATTCAAGCCAGATGGCGAAGTGAGTTAGGCCGCGGCATTGAATGCGATGCAACGCTGTGTGAATGAGTAAGTGAACTTTATTTAACCACGGTAAACTCATCAGGATTTTAAAACGCCAATTATAGAATAGAATACAATACAATAAAAAGTTATATATTACAATTTTATATACATATCCATTTATAAAAGTACCTGTTTTCCATGAGTGCCGTGCAATTACTAATATAAAGATAAAAATTTGAAAATGATCGTATGAAGTTGCTGCAGTCATCCATCTTCACTTTTTTCATTCTTACATTCAGCCTCAGAACTCTCAGATATAGTTTCATTCTCATCCTCGATTTCCTGTTCAGACTCAGACTCGTCTTCATCAAAACAGCAAGAACTCGCTGACTCGTGCTGTTCTGGTAAGAGAAGCTCATCCACTTCGCAAACCCCATAAGCAAACACCTGTTTCTGGTTATTCTTGTCATGAAAGAAAACGAGAGAACCAGAGTCACAGCCTTCCAAGAATGGACAACCACATCCCTTAACGGCGAATGCATCCTGGAATAATGGCTCCACTGTTAATTCGAACCCTGTCACTGATTACCCCCTCCTCGGAAATTGCAGTTGAAATACTGAATTGAACCAATCGTGGCAGCATTGACGGCTTGGTTTCCCATCCCCCCGGCCTGATTGATAAATTCTCCACCTCTTGCTGCAGCTCCTGAAATCCCAAAGAAGCCAGAGTTACCCATGGCGTTCGCCTCGTGGTTTCCACCATATCCCCCACCGTAGCCAGTACTCGCTGCCGGCGAACCGATATTACCGAAGCTGTTGGTCGCCTCGCCACTACCCCCGGTGTTAAAAGCACCGGCACCCGGTACGGCGTTGAATCCTGCAGCCGCCGCGTTCCTGTCAAATTTATTTCCAGAACCTGAAAAGAGAAGAGATAAACGGTTATGGAAAATTTTCCACAGAAAGAACATTTTGTAAATATGTCATTGGCCGGAAAAAATTTTGAAGTTGAAAAATTTTAACTTTTTTTGATTCTCCTTAATAAACAATGTGAAAAGTCACTTTTCAAAGTTGTAACTGTAAATTTACCATTATACAAACAACTGCAGTGATAAAGTGCAGTTTGCAGTGCGTGCACTCGCAGACTTGGAAGAGACAATGCCCAAAAAATGGCGGATAAACCGAGCGTGAAAATTGAAAAGGCTTCGCAAGCCTTCGGCGAATAAATCGAGCGTGAAAAAGGCTTCGCAAGAACAAATTCGCCTAGTGGAAGACAGGCTGAAGATTACTACAGATGTATTATGTAAATATTTCAATTCGAACCAATTCAATTAACTATTCCTTGCTGAGATTTTCTACATTGCCATTTCTACAACTTTGCCAGTGAAAAACTACACAAAGTCAAAACACTACAGTTTACATACTAAAGATTTATCTTTATAATTTTATCTCCTTGTATTTTTCAGGTAGTTGCATCGCTATCAATGCAAAGCTTTCTTTTTATTGCCACTACCTACACTGGTACAAACCTTTCAAAATTATCTCTTTATAATTATTATATCATCTTTACTTAACATCATATTTAACAAGTTTAACAATCTTTCACCTTGGGCATTGTTTGAAAAGTTCATTCCTTGGCCAGGGAAAAAGGACTGGTCACCAGAGCTCCAGTCATCTCCACCACCATCATCAAATTCTGATCTCAAAAATAACTCAACACAATGATGACCTAAAACAAAGTTCAAGTTTGAATTCATTCCACAGTGGTTTGTGCATGAGCCTTTCATGAGATGATCCTTACTGGACCTCTATCTTCAAAGCTATGCAGTATAAATGTTAGTTTGGTTTAGGTTTCCTTCTGTAGTAACACTGGATCAATAAGAGATGATTCTTACTGGATCTCTAGGAAGAACAGTTTAGAACTGATAGAGCTATCCAGTATAAACAAAGTTAGTTTAGTTCAGGTTCCTCCTGTGCAGTAACACTGGATCAATAAGAGATGATCCTTACTGGACCTCTAGGAAGAACAGTCTAACTGATAGAGTTATCCAGTATAAATAAAGTTAGTTTTAGTTCAGGTTCCTCCTGTAGTAACACTGGATCAATAAGAGATGATCCTTACTGGACCTCTAGGAAGAACAGTTTAGAACTGATAGAGTTATCCAGTAGAAATAAAGTTAGTTTAGTTTAGGTTTCCTCCTGTAGTAACACTGGATCAATAAGAGATGATCCTTACTGGACCTCTAGGAAGAACAGTCTAACTGATAGAGATATCCAGTATAAATAAAGTTAGTTTTAGTTTAGGTTTCCTCCTGTAGTAACACTGGATCACTACGAGATGATCCTTACTGGACCTCTAGGAAGAACAGTTTAGAACTGATAGAGTTATCCAGTAGAAATAAAGTTAGTTTAGTTTAGGTTTCCTCCTGTCGTAACACTAGATCAATAAGAGATGACCCTTGGACCTCTAGGAAAAACAATTTAGAACTGATGGAGCAATCCAGTCTAAATAAAGTTAGTTTAGTTTAGGTTTCCTCCTGTCGTAACACTAGATCAATAAGAGATGATTCTTACTGGACCTCTAGGAAGAACAATTTAGAACTGATGGAACTATCCAGTATAAGTAAGGCTAGTCAAACTTTTTCCACCCACCCATATATTGTCTGTCTTTCGCCATGGCGGCTTTAGCGTCAGCGTCGGTTGCAAAATCCACGTCAGCTTCACCACGTGACCTCCGCTGACCAGAATCACTTGTCTCAAACTCCATCCTGATTGCTACTGGGTTCAGTGGCATAAACCATTGTTTCACATCTGCTTCTGACGCAGAGAAAGGTAAACCACGCATGTGCACACAATGTCCTGTGGTACTCTTGGATAAACCTCCTGATCCCCCATTACGTCTGAAGCTACCGCCGCTACCTCCTCCAAACCCTCCTGAATCATCTCTACCGCTTCACATACCCCCATATCCTCCTCGGCCACCTCCTCGATATCTGAAATAAAATAAATTGCAAAAATAATTTCGGTTCGGTCACAATATAAGTCTCTTTTCAACAAAATCACAAAAACCAACTTGCAAGCTTGATGCGAGTGTTTGTATGTAATAAAAACAAAATGTCGAGCATTGTGATGAAATCCAGCTTGCAAGTTGACTCTTGCAATGAATGGAAAAGAAGCTAAAGAGTTGTCTCCGGCCTCGTTCTTTCGCGGATCCTGCTAATAAATCGGGATTGACCCACTGTTTCCTTTAACTTTCTAGGAGCGTAAAAGTATTCAATGTACTACAAGCACACACCTTCGTTCAAAACCGCTAGGTTGTCCGCTGAAACCGGAGCCTCCACTAACGGACGATTCTCTTTCATAAGATCTACCCCTGGTCTGTGGTCGTGACATCGACGCCGATTGCGAGCGTGCTTCTTGTACGGAAGTACGTGGCTTCTCATCTGCAACTGAAGTTAGGCTTGGATCAAATGTAGCTCTTGTCATGCACCGACTTGGGCTATTACATTTAAAAATCAACCCCTCCCTCTGTTGAGGACCTCTGCTTTTGGGGATTTTTACCCCTCTGGGGCCGGTTGTTCAAAAGGCGATCGGCTTAACCCTAGGTTAACCTAAAATTCAAAGCAAACTTCCTGACAGCTTGTCTATAAATTAGGAAATATTTCTACAGAAATCTTGTTGGGGTCGACAGGAGTTTACTTCTCTGAAGTTTTGAAATAAAAAGACGTGCAGAAATACAGGGACTAAAACAGCAGGTTAAAGCGCTAACCCACCTCTGAACAACCGCGGCCCCTGAAATGGATAAAAATCTGTGCAATTGACCCCTCTGGAAAAGACTTGAAACCCCTCTGGAAAAGACTTGAAACCCCTCTGGAAGGGACTTGAAAACCCTCTGGAAGGGACTTGAAACCCCTCTGGAACAGCATTTTTAACATAGAGATTATAGTGCGGGCATGGTAATCTTAATTCAGTCAAAGAAAGGAACGTGGCTATCGGGGG